TACAGATTTTTAGAGATGATATTAACATTGGTGATGTTTGCACTTTCTGTCTAAAACCCATAATTTTATAGCAAACTGTTGACTGTAATTAAAACTTAGGGGATCTTGAATATTTCCTTTTTAAAGTATTTTCAGTGATTTTTCAAGGCATTAATATCAACTTTAAGTTCTTGTTGCAAATCAAATTGCATAACAATGATACATGGTTTCAATGTGCTCTGATATATCAACAGTGAAAGAAAACTAATAATTTAATATGTTTAGTTGTCTTTATTTTTCCCCTTTTCTTACAGCTTTCGTGTTTGACTTCTAGTTTTTTATGTTTAGGCATTTTTTCCCCTTTTATGCCTGCATTTTTAATAAGGTCATACTGACATTTTTTGGCACAATTTTAAAAGGAGGTGTTATGCACTGCCTCCAAATTTCCTGTTACTTCTGTTCCGTTTCCTACCAAAATCTCAAATAACTGCTGAAAATGTGAATATTGCATTGTTTGAAGAAGCTTCCTTCACACAATGCATTATTTATCTAATTGGCTGATGTCTGCAACAATTCCCATTATCACCTTTTTAAAGGAAATTAAAAAGCCAAAGACTTATCTTGGGTTTGTTTAGTCAGATACACAATACTGCAGACTTAAGAATATATAAACCCCTTTCATTTTAACTATCTGTTCTTTGCTGTGAGCATATAGTGAAAAAGAGGAAACCGAGAGAAAACTTGAAGCAAGTGAAATCAAAATAGTAGCAGTTCAGGAATGAATGTGCAGAGTCACAGTTAACACAGGCCACACAGTTCAGCTGAGTGTATAACCTGGGCCTGATTTTTTATGCAAATCCCTCTGTTGTACTCACATTTAGAAAAGCAATAGTGGTGTATCCTCTTCCCCTTCTCGTGCTGACTTAATCAAAGAAAGGAAATATTTGCCTTTCAGAGTCCGATTTGCAAAGAGTGCTTTAAGGTAACCCTACACCAAAATATAAGACATCCTCAGATAATATCCATGTTTTGCAGAGGTAAGCGAACAGACATCTGCCAAACCCTGCCTGAAGAATGAAGATAATGGGTCTTCTTGGCTCCTTACAAAAATACTTCTGTTGGTTTTGCTTCTAGCCTTCCTTAATTAGGCTAAATTCAAAAGTCATTTTCACCAAAACTATGTGTTCAAAGCTTTTTTCGAATCTATGGCTTCCCTGCATGTTTTCGGTGATCTGGGAAACCTAAGAAAATCAGGAACTTGCATGAGTAAGGAGTAGCTAGCCATCCATTTCACGACGTTAGCTTGTGAAATAAGCTGCCCTTTGTAAACAGCTAATATTGTAAATTTGCAGAATTATGACAAAGAGCTCTCTAGGATAGAGTACCTGTGTATTGTTCTTGTCTAATCCTAAAATTGGGATCCATAGACTTTTACGCTGGGATGGTGATCTTAATGAGTAATAGTATCAGTCCTGCAAAAGGGAGGTCCTGCATGACCAACCTGATCTCCTTCTGTGATCAGGTGACCCACCTAGTGGATGAGCGAAAAGCTGTGGATATTGTCTACCTGTAATTCAGTAAGGCATTTGACACAGTCTCCCACAGCATCCTATTGGACAAGCTGGCAGCTCATGGCTTAGACAGGTGCACTCTTCACTGGGTGAGAAACTGGCTGGACATTAGACAGTTGCACTCTTCACTGGGTGAGAAACTGGCTGGACAGCCGAGCCCAGAGAGTTGTGGTAAATGGAGTTAAATCCAGTTGGCAACTGTCACAAGTGGTGCTCCCCAGGGCTCAGTTTTGGAGCCATTCTTGTTTAATATCTTTATCAACAACCTGGATGAGGGGATCAAGTGCTCCCTCAGTAAGTTTGCAGATGACACGAAATTAAGTGAGAGTATCGATCTGCTTAAGGGTAGAGAGGCTCTGCAGAGGGAGCTGGACAGGCTGGATCGATGGGCTGAGGTCAATTGTGTGAAGTTCAACAAGGCCAAGTGCCAGGTCCTGCACTTGCATCACAACAACCCCTGGACAGCTGCCTGGCAGAAAAGGACCTGGAGGTGCTGGTCGACAGCCAGCTGAACATGAGCTGGCAGTGGGGCCAGGTGGCAAAG